GGCTCGTATTTGGCACCAAGAAGCTGTGTTCCCAAGCCCAGCTGTTCTATGGCTCCATGGCCCTACCTCTCCCCGCCTTACAATTTTTTATTTTTTTTTCAGTACTGGGGTTTGAACTCAGGGTCTACACCTTGAGCCACTCCACCAGCCATTTTTTTGTGGTGCATTTTTTCAAGATAGGGTCTTTTGAACTGTTTGCCCAGGCTGGCTTTGAACCTCTATCCTCTTGATCTCTGCTTCCCAAGTAGTTAGGATTATAGGGGTGAGTCACCAGAGCCCGGCTACCTTATACTTCTTTATTCATTCACTGGGATTTAGGATTTAGGGATGAAGGCTGTGGGAAGTGTCCCTTCATATCAGACTGACTAGATCTAACACTGGTAGATGGTTCCTGTCGGTTGGTGGGCTGCTCTCTAGGTTGCTGTGGGAAGTGAGGAGGGAGCAAACACAGCCATGTGGGGCTTGGATTCATTCCAGGCCTGAAGAGCCAAAAAAATATTTCTTGCTTCCCTGACACTAGGTCTAAGCAGGCAGGTGTGGCTCAAGCAGTTCTATCTTAGATTGACTGATGGAACACAGGCAATAGAAAAACCTAGGTAACATGCCAGGTGTGGATGAGGGCTATAGAGGAAAACAGGGTGGGGGCTAGAGAGGGAGGCGGGTGCTACTTCATAGCTCTGACACTCTGCAGCTGTTGGGAGAAAGGTGAATGATTTGGGGCAATGGTAAGGGCAGATTGTAAAATTAAGTAAAAACCTGTCTGGGGCTGTAATCCCAGCTATTTGGGATGCTAAGGCAAGAGTATTGCAAGTTCAAGGTCATCCTGGGCAACTTAGCAAGACCCAGTCTCAAAATAAAAAATAAATAAATAAAAGGAGCTGGGGGACTGGAGAGATGGCTCAGGTGGTATAGCATCCGCCTAAAAAGCACAAGGCCCTGAGTTAAAACCCCAGTACCACCAAAAGACAAACAAATGAAAAAACAGAACAAAACACATAAAAATCCAGTAGGCTAGTGGAGTGGCTCAAATGGTAGAGTGCCTGCCTAGCAAGTGTGAGTCCCTGAGTTCAAACTCCAACACCGCAAAAAAAAATAAATAAAAAGCCGGCGCCAGTGGCTCACGCTTATAATCTTAGCTACTCAGAGCGCAGAAATCAGTAGAACCACATTTCGAAGCCAGCCTGGACAAATAGTTCAAGAGACTATCTTGGGAAGTACTCAGCACAAAAAGGGCTATTGGAGTGACTCAAGTGGTAGAGCTCCTGCCTAGCAAGCATGAACCCTTGAGTTAAAATCCTAGTATTGGTGCTCTCTTTAGCAGCACAAATACTAAAATTGGAACAATACAGAGAGGATTAGCTTGAGGATTAGAACTTGGAGCTGGGGATGTATCTGAGTTATAGAGTGTTTGCCTAGCATGCATGAGGCCTTGGGTTCAATACACAGTACTACAAAAAATAAATACAACGTAAAAAGTGATAGAACAACAAAACAACATGGGACGGAATTTGAAGTTCTTTTTTCTTTTTTTTTTTGGTGGGACTAGAATTTGAACTCAGGGCTTTGCAAGTGCAAAGCAGGCAGGCATGCTACTGCTTGAGCCACATCTCCAGTCCATTTTGCTCTGGTTATTTTGCAGATGGAGCCTCGAGACTGTTTGCCTGAGGTGGCCTCAGAATCACAATCCTCCAGATCACAGCCTCCCGAGTAGCTAGGATTACAGGCATGAGCCACTGGTGCCCAGCTTGAGTTTGAAATTTTTATAGAGAGTCCTTGTCAAACTTAATTCTTTTTAAATTTTTGTTCGGTTCTGGACCGACCCAGGGCCTCAGGCTTACTAAAGGCAAGAGCTCTACCACTGTACTATACCGCCAACCCCCATGTTCTTAATTCTGAAAGTGTGTGGATTAATATCTATTCTCTTGCTAGTATCTATTCTCATTGCTCTTCAGGCATATGAGTCACCCCCCAGTCAATAAGCAACTTGCCAATCCACCAGCCTGGCACCCATGAGCCTCCAGTAGCCCTGCTCTCCTCTCCTGGAGAAGCAGTTTGGGTTTTCTTAATTATCATATTATTGGGGATACATCATAACATTTGCAAAAGTATTTAAAATATATCTTAGTCAAATTCATCCCCTCCATCATTCTTTATACTCCCTCCCCAAGAGGCAGTTTTCTTGTTGCTCCTTGTCCCTAGACATCATTCTGTAATATTGGCTCACCAGGGATCTGGTGATTTGAAAGATTTCGAAGCTGGGTGATGGTGGCTCACTCCTGTAATCCTAGCTACTCAGGAAGCAAGATCAGGAGGATCAAGGTTTGAAGCCAGCCTTGGGCAAATAGTTTGAGAGACCCTATATCGAAAAATCCATCCCAGAAAAAGGCTGGTAGAGTGGCTCAAGTGGTAAAAGCACCTGCCTAGCAAGTGTAAGGCCCTGGGTTCAAACCCCACTACCCACTACCATCAAAAAAAAAAAACAAAACATTTTGAGGAAGCAATATTTGTATGTGCATGTTCATGGTAACATTATTCACAGAACTAAAAGGTAGAAGCAAGGCTGGAGGTGTGGCTCAAATCATAAAGCTTCTGCCTAACAAGTTCCAGTACCTCAAAAAAAAAAAAAAAAGGAACTTGGGTTAGGTGCAAGTGGATCATGTCTGTAATCCTAGCTACTCAGGAGGCAGAGATCAGGAGGATCAGGGTTTGAAGCCAGCCTGGGAAAATAGTTTGGGAGCCCTATCTCAAAAAAAAAAAAAACCCTTCACACAAAAGGGCTGGTGGAGTGGCTCAAGGTGTAGGACCTAAGTTCAAGTCTCAGTACTGCAAAAAAAAAAAAAAAGGGGGGCTGGCAGAGTGGGCAAACATGATCAAGCACTATAATTGCAGCACTTGAGAACTTGAGAGGCAGAGAAAGGGAGGTGGAGAGTTGGAGGTCAGCCTGAGCTACATGGTGAGACATTGTCTCAAAAAAAGGGCTGGGACTGAGAGCATGGCTCAAGTGGTCAAATGCCTGCCTACCAAGCATGAAGCATGAGGCCCTGAGTTCAAGCCCCATTACCACCAGAAAAAAAAAAAAAAGGTTGGTGGTATAGCTCAGTGGTAGAGTATTGCCTAACATGTACAAGGCCCTAGGTTCCATACTGCTGGAGGAGGAGGGAGAAGAAGAAAAGAAGAAGGAGGAGAAGAAGAAAAGAAGGAGGAGGAGGAGAAGAAGTAAGTGGAATGGGCTTCTATAAAATGAAGAGTTCTAGAGATATAATACTTAAACATTACTAAACTGTACAGGTAAAAATGATTAAGATGGTGGCCTTTTTTGGGTGTGGTGGGTGTGGAACCCAGGGCCTCGTGCATTCTAGGCAAATGCTTTGCCACTAAGCTATGTCACCAGCTCATGACAGTACATTTTATGATAGGTTTTACTACTCTTTTTTTAATGGTGCTAGGGAGCAAACCCAAGTCCTCATGAATATTAGGTAAGCACTCTGTTTCTGAATCACACCCCCAGTGCCCCACAGATTTGAAAAAAAAAAAATTGTGAAATATGTTGCTCTCAGCTGTGATCATTGAGCTGAAAGGAAGAGAGATGGTGGCTCCCTCAAGGGTTGGAGATGAAGTCCAGCAGGGTGAGCTGGTCTGGGTTCCCTCCCAAGGCCAGCCACACAGCCTGTTTGAGCCTGTTTTCTCATGGTAAAAATGGGTCATTGTGACATTCAATCCATGGGGACAGAGTTGGATTTCCTCCCCTTGCTGAGGCCTGCAGCCTTCAGCTCACAAGACATCCACACTACAGCTCCTCATGTAGTGTTTGCTCTTTGAGGACAAGGCAGCCATATGTGTGTCACATCGAGACAGTTCTCAGGCCTGTTTCTTCCCTCTTCCCACCTTCAGCCCGAGGGACAATAGCCCTCTAGCCCCAATTCACCAGTTTGCTGTGGAACCAGTTGGTGACTCCAATGCTCTGGCCCCAGGGATGCTTCTAGTCCTTTCTGGCTGTACTTTGCAGTGTCCTTCCTCCGGACATGTCATTGGATACAGGGAATGTGGAGAATGGGGATATGGTGAGCAAAGAAGACCACCCTGCATGGCCACCCTCCTGAAGGGGGAGCTCTGGAAAACCATGGAAAAGTCGCTTTGAGCTATATGACTACAGATATAAGGGCTCCTCTGAACCTCAGTAGGCTCTTCTGTAAAATGGAACAATTAAAGAAATACCTTCCTAAGGGATCCCACAAAGCACCCTTGGGAGCACCAGCAGCTACTGAAGTGGGACTCGCAGCTGGAAGACACTGACCTCACCCAGGCCTCACAAAGGGCCCACCAGTGACATAGTCCTAGCATAAGACTTTTCAGTGCTGGCTCTTAGCTGGACCCTCTATGTGCAGACCAGATGACCCTGAGCTGAGTCCACCCCAAAGGGTAAGGCTACAACTTCCCTTCCCCAGCCAGAAAAGCTTATCGGCAGTGCTTGTGGATCTACCGTACAGAAGTGAGGGCTAGAAGAGATGTGCTCATGTTTCCCTTGGTTGTGCTTTAACTTTTAAAATATTCTTTTTTTTCTATGAACATTTTAATGAGGGGGTTGAACATAAAATAGAAAAATAACATTCTGATTGCTTTTTTTTTTGAGATGCAGACTTTTCTTGAGACTTTCATACAAGGCAATAGATGAATAATGTGAACCTGCTGAAGAAAATACATACCACAGAAAAAAGGCATTTCTTCAAATACCTATCATAGTTATCGACAACTTCCAAGCAGCCTGTCAAACTGTCAGGCTCGTTTGGTTTTCTTTTGGAAACAACACGAGTGACGACTTACGCCCGCTGCTTTCAGAGGCTAGGGGACACTTGGGAATTGCCATCAGTCTAACCCAGTGGCGCCTGGAGCAAATGTTGCTTAAGGTGGTGGTGAGGATGGGTGTTGTGTGAGGATGCACGTGTTTGCTTTTCTAGAGGGCGTGGGCAGGCAGAGGCTACCACCCTGGAAGGGAGCTGTGCTCACTCCGCATGGACAGACAAGTCATCCAGCAGATGGGCAGGGACAAGGCCCCTGTGGCCACTAGACTCACCGTAATAGAATCCCTTAGCATCTACAGGCCCATACACAGTAACCACGTCTCCTGCCCTCAGCACCAGCTTGCCCTTTGCCCGGCTCCCTAATCTCCCATCCCTGGGATCATAGTCCAGAGCTGCCACCATTGTCTTTGGAGTCCATGGTGTAGATGTCCCTTGGGGCATGAGAATGGATCCCTGGGTGCTGGTAAGACACTCAAAGTCCTCAAGGTGGGCAACAGAGGGAAGATGCCCTTGTTCTGACAAACACCAACTCCCGTCAGTCTGCTCTGTGCCCACCTCCACCACAAGGTGCCCAGGAATGTTACCCACTTGTCCATTGCACTCGCCATGGTAGAAGCCATGGGGGTCCTGAGAGCCCCACACTCTCAGCAACTGCCCTTTCTGGAAGGCCAGCTCCTCCTCTGCACCCCTGGGGTTGGCAGACATCACCAGGGGATTATAATCAAAGAGGGCCACAAAGACTCTGGAGGGAGTGTTGGCCTCTGTCCTCAACTTCAGGGAGCCACCCCTGGGCATCTTAACAACTTTGCTGGAAGGAGCTTGACATAGTGTTGAGGTGGGCTCACAGAGCTGGCACTCTCTCTTGCCCCCCAAAGCTTTTCCTCGTCTGCTCTGGGGCCTCAGTTTCTTTTTCTGCTCTGGCTTCCTTGTATGCCAAGGACCCAAGCAAACTGCCTCCTCCTCCTCCAAAACGTTACCGAAGTCAGCCGCATGATGCAGGCTGGTGCCTTGCTGCTTGAGGGCCTTCTCAAAGGCAGACTTCTCCTGATGTGGCTCTTTCCTGGCCCCACACTCAGGGGACAAATGGATGAATCCTGGGGCAGGGCTTCTGTTGGTGCTCATATGCTGGTAGTGGCTTTCTTCCACCCCAGACTGGCCAGTGGGCAGAGGTGGCCTGTGGTTCTGGGGACTCTTCTGAAAAGGCAGGTCCTTTTTGCAGTCTTTCCAGGCCTCTGTGGACCCCTGGGCTTGGTTGCCAGTCCTTTCTGAGCTTAAGCTGGACACTAGAGACTGCCTCCTTGGGGGTTCTTCAGGGAATGCTTCTAGAAACTTGGCCTGAGGTTTCCCACAGTTTCCAGGAGTGTGAGTACTCAGAGAAGCCTGTGTCAGCTTCTGATGACAGACAGGGAAGGTGACTCTACAGGTGGACAGGTCACTGCAGGTATAGCTAAAGGGAGGAGTCTCCAGTAATGGGTGACAGGTGAAGCAGTCCTCAGGGATCTGAGCTGGCACTGAATCTAGGGACTCACCATAGAGCGACATGGTTCTCACTGAGAGCTTCTGGCATGTGAGGGGCACCTGGAGCTGGGACAATTCCAACAGGGTGCTCCCAGCAGTGGCATCAGTGACCTCTGCAACCTTGAGCCCATGCATATACACTGCATAGCCTGTGACCTGTACTCCATTGGAGGACCCAGCTGAGTCAATGGTCACAGGAAGCCAGCTGACCACCAGGAAGCCTAGAGAGGCATGGTGCTCTACTAGTACATCCAGTGGGGGGTCAGGGGGTCCTGCTAAGGGTGTGTCAAAGGTGATGGTGGAGGACATTGTTTCCCACACCTGCAGCAAGTCCCTAGGCAGCTGCACTTCCACCCTCACCTGGTATCGTGTGCCAGGATGTAGACCTTGGAAAGTGTAGCAGCTCACACCTGATGGGGTCAGGGCATGTTCCTGGTCATTAAGGTACACCATATGGGGGTGTCCGCTGCTGCCATGAACCCAGGTGATCTCAGCAGATGTAGCCGCAACGCTCTGCAGGTGTAGTTGCATGGGGGCCACACAGAGCACTCCTCTGGCCCCTAGAAATGGACTGGAGAAGCCCTGTTCCCCCACACTCTGTGGTGACCCCACCCAGCAGGCTTCTTTCTTAGTCTCCAAGATCTCTACCGCCACTTCTGTCTCAGAGCCCAACCTTACAATCTGGTATGGCCCTCTATCCACTGATGCCTGAGCTTTTCCAAGTGATAAGCTGTTTTCCTTCAAGGCTTGGTTCTGTCCAGCAGGTAGTGAAGTGGGGCTAAGGTCAGGGGACTTGGAGGGCAGGCAGCCTAACATGGGGCTGTCTGGAACCTGTTCCACTAAGTTGGATGGCACCATTCCCCTACGGCCATCCTCAAGCTCCCCTTCATAGAAGCCATCGTCATCCATGTCCCCAAAGACATACACATAATCCCCAGCTGTGAGGGGCAGCTCACTCTCAGGATGCTCATTGGGTCCCTCAAATGGATTGTAGCTATACCTAGCCAGGAAGACCTTGAACTTGGGGGTAGCAGGAGCCTCAGAGTCCTTTACTTCCAGGGGAGTGGACACACTGTCTGACTCAAGATCATCTACCTCACTGGCTGTGTCCACGTCCAGAGTAAGGCAAGATGGCACTGTAACCCATACGGACTCCACCTCTGACGAGGAGTTCGACTGGGAGCTGGTTTTCTTGGCCTGGGGCCTGGAGTCCAAAGGCTCGCTGGGAGAGACCCTGTCTGACACTCTAGGGGCACTGTCTGGTTCACTAAGGGCAACTGGACTTTCTTGCTGGGAGAGACAAACAGAAGGCTGTTTGTCCCTGCTGGGCAGTGACAGTGCATGGTCTTCCTGTCCTGGCTTGAACTTGGACCTTCCACTGCCACTGGCTTGGAACTCTGGGGTTTGGATGATCTCCGATGGCTGCTGCAAAGGGTGGCCAGGTTGACATTGCAACGCCTGCATCTCCTTCCGGGCAGCCTGGAGGTCGCTCAGGGCCTTCTGCAGGTAGTGCTGCAGCTGCTGCTGCCTGTCTTGCCCACTCTCTGCCTGCTGCAGCAGCTGCTCCGCCAACAGGCCCTCCTGGCACGTGCGACTCAGCTGCCTGCGCACGTCGCTGTTCTCCCCTGCCACCTTCGGGATCCAGTTGGCCTGTGCCTGCAGCCGTGCGTTCTCCTCCGCCAGCCAGGCGCCCTTGAGCAGCGCTGCCTGCAGCTGTGCTTCAGCTTCCTCCACGCGCCGCTGTGCTGCTGCCGCCTGAGCGCCCAGCAACTCGCATTCACGCCGCCGCGCACCCAGCTCGCACTCCAGCTCTTGCACCTGCTGTTGCACCTCCTCGCAAGGTGAGCTGCGGCTGCCAGCCTCACGCCCGGCGCCACCCTTGGATTGCTGCAGTGTCAATTGCCTTTGCAAGCGCAACACTTCGCGCTGGGATTCGCGCTGCAGCCGGTCCAAGTCGCTGATGTTGAGCCACTGCGCGCTGGGGGCGCCCCCTCCAGGATGCGAGGTGCTGCCGAGAGCCGTGGCAACGCGAGCCTGCAGCAGGTGGCATTCCCTCCGAAGTTCTTCGATCTGTTTGTCCTTGGCCAACAGTGCAGTAGCCTGTTCTGACAAGTCCTGGGCGCGCTGGCGGGCAAAGGCCTGGCACAGCTCCAGGTCGGCGTGGCTCTCACCGGGTACGGGCGCACTCACTGCCCGCAGATTGGTTTCCTGCAGCTTGCGGGCCCGGTCCTCCAGGCGCCGCGCCAGGCCTGTTAGTTCAGCATGCTTTACCTTGAGCCGCTTCACCTTCTCAACTGCCTCGTCGGAGAAGCCTGCGCGCCGGAGCTGCATGTTCTCCTCGCGCAAAGCAGAACACCGGCGCGACAGCACCTGCAACGCTTCAGCCAGCTCCGAATTTTGCTTCAGCAGTTCGTGGTAGTCCAGGCCTAGTGGCGCGGGGGTCAGAGCTTCGCAGGGCTGGTTCCCGGAGCCTTCTCCTCCCCGCGGATCGCTAGGTTTCCTATGAGCCGACGGTGGTAGGAGCGGCAGCGGGGGACTAGGAGAGCCTGGGATGGAGACATCTGTTGGGGAGGCCCGCACCTCGGATTCGGAGGCCTTGGGACAACTCAGTGTGCTGTTGAGCGAGCAAGAACGCGCTGTTGTCAAGGAATCAAGGGAGCTGGCACGCGTGGGGAGCAGGTCGTCTGGAGAGCTGGAGCATGACGCGGGCACCAGATCCAGAGAACGGGAGCGAACGCGGACGCCAGTGCTCAGGCTGTCTAGGGATCCGAGTCGACAGGCGGGCTTTGGGGTGCGACGAGCACTGCTCCGGATTTCGGGGAGTCGCTCTTCCGAGGAATGCACGGCCTGGGGGTCTGGGTGTTCCGGCAAAGCGGGTTGCCAGCGAAAGTGCTCCAGGATGTACTTGAGAAAGAGTTGACGCTGCAAGTGTAACGCCGCCTGCAGGTGGCGGATGCGCGCGGCCTGTTCGCTGTCGGTCTCCCAGCGAAGCTGCGCCAGTACTTGTTGCAGGCGACAGTGGCATTGAGTGGCAGAGGTCTCCGGCGCCTCCGCGCGGCCGCAGTAACCGCGGTTCACCAGTTCTTGGGCCAGCTGGCGCTGCAGCTCTCGGGCCTGGCGCACCACACCGTCGCGCTCACGGTGCAGCATCTGCTGCAGCTGCCGCAGTTCGGCCTCCTTCCAGCGCAGCAGCTGCCGGATCTCGGCCTCGCGCTCTCGCTGCACCTTCTCCTGCAGTTGCCGCATCTCCCGGAAGCGCTGCGCCTCCCACTTGGAGCGCAGATGGTCAGCCAGCTGCTGCCGCTCCTGCTCTGCGGACTCCCTCAACTGGCGCGCCTGGGCGGTGAAGCGCCGTCGTTCGGCCCGCCCGCGCGCGCGCTCGGCCTCCAGCTCCGCCCGCAGCTTCTCCAGCTCCCGTCGCTGTTCCTCCAGCACTGCTGCCGCTGGGCCCGGGCTGCCTGGCTTCTTGGGCGACACGCGGCCGCCACCCAAAGGGGTAGGCGAGTCCTTGGTCATTGTGGCCGCAGTCCGGCCAGACGCCTGATCTTGCCTGGCAGGCCACAGTTAGTCAACGGCCGCCGCCCCGGCCGCGGCCAACCGCCCAGCGCGCCCCTTCCGGCGCTCCCTGAGTGGGGGGGTGGTGATCTCCGCGTGCCCCTTCCGCCTCTGGGTGTGTTCCCCAACCCTTAGTCGCGGGTGTCTCGGGCCGAGAGCCTCTCCTCCCTGCTTAGGCCGCTTCCTAGACCCAGGCTGGGCTCCCAACACATCTGCTCAAACTGGTCCCTAACCCTCCCTTTCCTCCCGCATTTTATGGGGCCCCATACCTTTTCTGTTTCATGACTCTTGTGACACTCTCCTAATCTCTGTGCAATCCCTTCCAGTCCAAGGTGCTCTTCGAGAAGGCTGGGCACTTTCAGGTCCTGGAGAAAGGAGTCAGGTGTGTGGGCATACCTGGCCTGATCTGCCGGGGGTTCAGATAGATCTGAACTGACATCTGAGAATTAGAGCAAGATATGCCTAAACTTGGGAGTGAGCTCTGATCCCCTAATCTCCTAAAAGGTGCATCTGGTGGCTGTACTCTACTAAGGCCTACTCTCCCAAGGACCCCTGTGGTACATATATTATCAATTTCTCTTATGCCCATTTTACAAATGGTAAGTCTCAAACCCCATGTTTGGGCTTCCAGCTTGGTGCCCACTCAGAAAGAGAAGTGCCCCTGTGAAGGCCAGAACCCTGACCTATGATTTTGATTTACTTTTTAATTTTTTTTTTTTTTGTGGTACTGGCATTTGAACTTGGGGCCTTTACCTAGAGCTACTCCATAGCCTTTTTTTGTGATGGCTTTTTTTCCCAGATAGGGTCTCCAGAACTATTTGCCCCTGGCTGGCTTCCAACTGAGATCTTCCTGATCTCTGCCACCTTGAGTAACTAGGATTACAAGTGCTGGCTTCTTTGTTTTTGCAGTGTTAGGGATAGAACCCAGGACCTTGTGCATGCTAGGCAATATTCTACCACTGAGGTACAGCCCAGCCCCTGACCTGTTTTTGGTTTGGTTTGGTTTATGGAGGTACTGGGGTTTGAACTAAGGGCCTTGTGTTTGCTAGGTAAGCCACTCTACCCATTTGATTCATGCTCCAGCCCTTTATGCTTTTTTAGTTATTTTTCAGATAGGGTGTCTTTTTTGCCCAGGGCCTGGCCGACAACCATGATTCCCTATCTATACTTCTGTCAGCTGGAATTGCAGGTGTGAATCACCACACCTGGCTTGTTTTTTTTGAGATGGAGGTCTCACTAACTTTTTGCTCCAGCTGGGTTGGAATGGCTGGCCTATAACTTTGAAGTCTCCTGATCTCAGCCTCCCAAGTACCTAGGATTACAGGTGTGAGCCATTGGTGCCTGGCCTGACCTGTGTTTTCTTAGTTCATCTTTACCATCATCTACCAAGGATGCTCAAAGAGATAAAGAAAACTCCATGGGGGCTGGGGCTCAGGTAGTAGAGCTCCTGCCTAGCAAGTGTAAAGGCCCTGAGTTCAAACTCCAGTACCACACACAGAAAGAGAAGAGAGAGAGAGAGAGAGAGAAACAGGCTGTGAGGCTGTGTAACCAGGGAGGCCTCCATGGAGGCAGGAGATGGGCTTACTGTCCCTTTTGCCACAGGGTCCCAGCCCACCCTTGCTCTGGACCATGAGCGCCAGGGGTTGCCTGCTTCCTTGAAAGGTAAAGACAGAGGCCCCTATAGGTCCAGCCAAATCCCTGTGTCATCTCTCTGGAAATGGCAAGGCCAGAGAATCTTCCATGGCCCTCTAAGGAGCAATGTAGTTTGGATGGTGAGGGCTGGTGGCCATTGGAGTCTGACAGGTTTTCAACTTCCTGTGTGTCACTTCCATGCTGTCATCTGTAAAATGGTCTAATGGGCTGTGTGACCTCCCAGAGTTCTTTGACCTTTCTGAGCATTCATGTCCTTTCTGTGTGCTAGATCAATGAGGTGAGAAAACATATACCTGGAACAGAGCAAGGCACATTGGTCACTCACTCATATCAGTCTGATTCCCATTTCTGTTATTGATTTTATTTTTGTGTAGTGTTGCTGATTAAACCCAGGATCTTGCCTATGCTAGGCAAGTGATCTACCATTGAACTATATATTCTCAACTCTTGTTTCTTTGAAACAGGGTCTTGGTATGTAGCCAAGGCTGGCTTCAAACCCATGATCCTCTTGCCTCCCCCTCTCTAATGCTGGGATTACAGACATGTGCCAACATGTCCTGCCTGAGTCCTCCCCATTTTTCTTTTCGGTACTGGGGTTTGAACTCAGGGCCTACACCTTGAGCCACTCCACTAGCACTTTTTTATGAAGGGTTTTTCGAGATAGGGTCTGGAGGACTATCCCTGGGCTGGCTTCAAACCAGTATCCTCCTGCTCTCTGACTCCTGAATATCTAGGATTACAAGGATGAGCCACTGGTACCCAGATAGCCCTTTTAAAATTTTACTTTTACGCTGGACACTGGTGGCTCATGCCTGTAATCCTACTACTCAGGAGGCAGAGATCAGAGGGATTGTGGGTTGAAGTCAGCCCAAGCAAATAGTTCACAAGACCCTATCTTGAAAAAACCCTTCACAGAAAAGTGCTGGTGGAGTGGATCAAGGGGTAGGCCCCAAGTTCAAACCCCAGTACCACCAAAAAAAAAAAAAAGTTAGTTTTAAGACAGGGTGTTGCTCAATTGCCCAGTTTGGCTTCAAACTTTCCATCCTCCGTCCTTGGCCTCCTGAATAAATAGCTGGGATTACAGGTGTGTACCACCACACCTGTAGGATGTGGTGTGTGCCACCACATCCATTTCAATCTCCATTTTTATCCAGTTGTCTATGGCTCACCTTGGCTTGTCTTTAGCAGTTTGCTCCTCCGGGAAGCTTTCCTTGACTCTCCAGGGTGGGCCTGGATTCCCCAGGATGGTATGGCTCTGATCAACCCACCTGCTGCCCCTCCTTTTTTGGAAGAGATATGTCTGATACACATTTGTGTCCTTGTTTAGAATAGGCTCAAAGGAGTTGAAAATGAAGCATTCCTCACAAACAAGGTGGTATGGAGATTGAGGACTAGACAGGCAGGAAGGGCATGAGGGATGCTGCCCAATTTGGCCACCTGGCCTGACTAGCTCCAACATTCAAGTACTTCCTGGCAGCAAAGACTGGAGTTTCAGGGTCTAGGTCATCTACTGGTGCCGTGGGTAGAGACCTCAGGCTGGGCCAGGGGTGTGGGTCATATCTCAGCCAGATTGTTACTAGGGTCTGGATGAACAGCTTCTCTATCTGGCCAGGAACTCAGGAGCCTGACTCTAATCTGGCTCTTACCTGTCTTTCCTCCCTGCCCCTGGCACCAAGTAGCTTTTGGGAAACACAGATAGGCACCTGGTACTCAGTCATCGGCATCCAATATTGGATTACATTAGAAGTCTCTTTACCTCTCAGTCTGTGGTGTCTGCCTGGCCCAGGAAGCACCTGGGACTTCTCACTGCTGCTATGTTTGCTCAACACCTGGCTCTCTGGCGCCAGTCTTTCTACTATACCCAAGTTTTCCAACCAGGTTCCCCTGAACCCATAGGAAATAATTTGGGACAATGATGAGGAACAAGAATGCCAGGAATTATCACTTAAGATATTCATCTTGAGAGCTAAGGTGAATGTAGAGTGGGGATGGGAGTGGCAGTTGAGAAGGAGGAATGGCCTATCCTTGAATTGGTACTGGGGCTGTGGATGTGTTAACCATGGGGAGGACTGTCTTGGTGGAATCCTCACCACAGCCATGTTTTTCTGAGGGAAACCTGAGGCTAGGTGGGAGCAGGTAGCTTCCCAGGGTCCTGGGCAACTACAACAGAATTGGATTGTTACTTTGAGGTAGTGGTGGTGGGGGATAGATGGCTTGCTGCAGCCTGAAGTGAGACCTCAAACAGGTCAGGAGGGCAGAATGCCACCAAGGAGGAAAGCTTTGGTCTCTGCAGTCACCACCTGGCAGCTATCTATACCAGAATCCCCTGAAGTATGTCAAAGGTGTTCTAGAAGGTGGTTGAGTGAATGGACAAAGCAGGGTTTCCTTAGTTCTAGGCTTTGACCATCCTTGCACTCATGTTGTGTGATGATTGTCCAGTGATCTTCATGTTGCCCCCATTGACAGATTGGGGAGAGCAGGGTCCATGTCTGCCTTAGTCTCCATTGTGTCTCTACATGGGTTCTAGTACACCACCATGTCCAAGATAGGTGAGAAAGAGTTGCTGAGTGGGAACCAGGATACCTGACGTTATCTTATCACTGCCTTTTCTGGGTCCAACTTTCTCACTTATAAAATGAATGGCTGGGCACTTATAGCTCACCCTGTACTCCTAGCTACTCAAGAGGTAGAGATCAGGAGGATCATGGTTCAAAGCCAGCCTAGGCAAACAGTTTGTGAGACCCTATTTTGAAAAAACCCATCACAAAAAAGAGCTGGTGGAGTGGCTCAAGGTATAGGCCCTGAGTTCAAGCCCTAGTACCAAAAAAAAAAAAAAAAGGAATTAATTAATGGATGCTTTTCAAACTGGGTTCCTTAGGGCTCCAGGGTTTCTTGGAAATACCATAAGATTGTGAGATAGAAATATATTAGGAACTGAAGGGAAAAGACTGCCCTGCATACTTCAATGGGCAGATCCAATCATTAGTGTCATTTATCAGATTTCAAGGAGAACTTTGGTTTTATAAAGAACTACACTAAAGCTAGGTGTAGTATTACATATCTATAATCCCAGCACTTAGAGGCTGAGGCAGTTAAGATTTAGAGTTCAAGGTGGGGATATCAGGAAGAGGGAACAAGAACTGCAGACTCCAGCCTGCTACAGTCTGGTTGTCTCTACCAGCCTTCTTTCCTGCCTGCCCCTTCCAGAGCAAACCCTTACCCTTTTGGCACTGATACTTGGCCAATCCTGTCAACTAAAGGTCAGAAAGGGAGGGTTACCCTGCCAGCTGAGTTCCTTCCACGCCCCCAGCACTGACCCTTTCTGGAAGAGGCTGGGTATATTTCCATCTCACAGTCCTGTGGTATTTCCAAGGAATCCTGGAGCCCTAAGGAACACAGTTTGAAAAGCACCCATTAACTCATTCCTTTCA